TCAGGTTACAGACTCCACTAACCCAGACATAGTGCTTCAGATTAAGAACTTTGCTTCAGGATGAGAACAGAAAAGGTGCTCCAGCGGCGTGGTGGCAGCAGGAGGCCCCATTAGCTAAAGTGGTGCTTCAGGTTAAGAACAGTTTCAGGTTAAGAACGGACCTCCGGAATGAATTAAGTACTTAACCTGAGGTACCACTGTAATGACTTTAAGTTACAAGAAAGGAGATTTGGACTAAACATCAGGAAGAACTTTCTGACAGGAAGAGCTGCTGGGACAGTAGAATGAACTCACTCAGGAGGCTGTGGAATCTCCTTCCTTGAGGGTTTTTAAGCAGAGTTTGGATGGCCATTTGTCATGGGTGCTTTAGATGAGATTCCTGCATTGCAGGAGGTTGGAATAGATGACACTTGGGGTCCCTTCCAACTTACCAGCTCTGTGCTTCTACACGTCTATGACTTTCCCAGTCCTACCTGAAGATTAGGGATGGGAGATGCCATGTGATAAAATTTGGGGCCATATTCTGGCATGCAGGTTATTTCCAATGAATTTCACTGGTAAGTCGTGGAAAAACACAATCATCCATGTGTATACAGGGTGGTGACATGTCTAGTGACATCCACTGTTGTGTCACATGCCACACCCACTGGTACAAATTAAACTTAGTGTGGCATAGTGGTATATTAATTTTTAAAACAAAAAACAAAACACAGTTCCATAATGCAACAGGTGTTTAAGGAATATTGTTAAATGAGAGGGAAGCGCTGCCATTACAACCAGCAAAACTAACACAGCCATCCCCATTTTTGACTGCAACATTGGTGTAACGTATAAACTCAGCTCAGCAGCATAGCTATGGTTTATTAGATTTAGCTATGGTAAGGGGAACGTGGGTGGCACTGTGGGTTAAACCACAGAGCCTAGGGCTTGCTGATCGGAAGGTCAGCGGTTCGAATCCCCGTGATGGGATGAGCTACCGTTGCTCGGTCCTTGCTCCTGCCAACCTAACAGTTCGAAAGCATGTCAAAGTGCAAGTAGATAAATAGGTACCACTCTGGCGGGAAGGTAAACGGTGTTTCTGTGTGCTGCTCTGGTTCGCCAGAAGTGGCTTAGTCATGCTGGCCACATGACCCGGAAGCTGTACGCCGGCTCCATTGGCCAATAAAGCGACATGAGCACCGCAACCCCAGAGTCGGTCACGACTGTACCTAATGGTCAGGGGTCCCTTTACCTTTATGGTATATAAGCTTGGTTCCTCATTAACCATGGTTTGTGGTTGGTTTATAAACCACAGGTAATGTTAGCCACAGCTTACTGTTGTGTGTGAACCCACAGTCATACTGCCATTTCAAAAGAAGTATCAGACTTTCAAGGGCAAGCTATACACTTAACGTAATGTATAGATTGCTGCTTGCAGAGTGGATGCCAGGATGTTCATTTAGTCTACAGTCAAGGTACCATCATTGAAAAGATCCTGGACCCTCTCAAGATGACCTTAAAAGCAGCCATTTCTGTTTGCTGCTTGCAGTTCTAACCTGAATATCGTTTTTTCTTTTCTCACTCATGACTTGCCAATTTTCATGCCATCAGCTGCTTTACCACAGAATACTAATCACCAACTGAGGAAGGTGGGGGGAAGCATTTTTCTGTAAGCAAGCAAGTTGGCTTGATTCCCCCACACACACACACTGCTGCCCCCCCCAAGCACAACCCTGATTGTTAGGCAGTTCACTGACATGATGCTACTAAAAATAACAGCAAACAGTTGCAGTGCACGGTCCATCTTTAATCCTATGTCTTCCGTGATGCTCACCTGGCTGGCCTGTTGAGTTGTAAGCTAGGTAATTTGCAGCTTCATTTTTCTCTATTGCACTTCCTTCTAGAATGAATATAAAAGCAGTGTTACTCATGACAACCACCGTTCATAAAACAGAGTTGTGGGTTATTTTAAAATCCTGTGTTTGGCTACCTCTTGTGGGTATTTCGGGAACAGCTTCTCATTCTTATTTTTTTCTCTGAAATATGCAGCCTTTACGTAGCAGCTGCACAGTTCAGGATTTGACCTCTACATTGCTTAAGATTGTGGGGTTTTTTTCTCTCTCCCCAGACTGTGGATCTGTAATACTTTTGCTTAGTAGAATTTATAGAAATTTATAGAATTTATAGAAAAAGGTTTTCTTGGGGAAACCACTGAAAATTCATAGAAAAAGCTTTTCTTGGGGAAACCACTGCAAATTCTCAGTGAAAGGTGGTGGACTTTCCTTCATTGGAGGTTTTTAAGCACAGGTTGGCCATCTGTCAGGAGTTCTTTAACTGTGATTCTTCCATTGCAAGGGGTTGGACTAAATGAACATTAGGTTACTTTCCAACTCTACAATTCTATGCTTGTATAGTGTGCTTAAGGGACGCGGGTGGCGCTATGGGTTAAACCACACAGCCTAGGGCTTGCTGATCAGAAGGTCGGCAGTTCGAATCCCCGCAACAGGGTGAGCTCCCGTTGCTCGGTCCCTGCTCCTGCCAACCTAGCAGTTCGAAAACACATCAAAGTGCAAGTAGATAAATAGGTACCGCTCCGGCGGGAAGGTAAACGGCGTTTCCGTGCACTGCTCTGGTTCGCCTGAAGCAGCTTAGTCATGCTGGGCACATGACCTGGAAGCTGTACGCCAGCTCCCTCGGCCAATGAAGCGAGATGAGCACAACAACCCCAGAGTCGGTCACAACTGGACCTAGTGGTCAGGGGTCCCTTTACCTTTTTATAGTGTGCTTATAAGAAAAATTGCTCAGCTCAGGATGATGCCCCACCACCCCGAACAAAGCAGCTAGAAACTGCCATTCTGATGAGAAAATTTGACTATATATATAACCCTACCAGACTCTATTTCATAGCTGAGTGCAGAGTTTAATTATGGAACTTGCTCCCATAGGAGGCTGTATTATCACCAACTTAGATGGCATTAGTAGATTAGACAAATTTATGTATGAAAAGGCTATCTGTGGATGTTAGCCGTGATGGCAATGCTCTGACCCTGTGCTTGGAGGCAGTAATGCTTCTCTATACCAATTATTTGAAAACAGCAGGAGGCAAAAGAGCTCTTGTGCTCAGATCCTGTTTGCAGGCTTCCCATAGGTGCATCTGGTTGGCCACTGCAAGAACAGGATGTTGGACTAGTTGGGCCATAGGCCTGATCCTGCAGGTGGTTCTTAGGAATGAAAACATTGCTCACAGTTTTTTAATGTATTTGATGATGCATACAAAAGGAAGAAGATTCCAGGTCTACTCCCAGACATCTCCAGCTTGGGTTGGATGAGTTGGAAACATTTCTGCTTGAGAATCTGCAAGAGATTTTGCCAGTTAAAGTGGACTTTTCTGCACTAGATAGGCTTCAAGGGGGGTTGGGGTGGATGACAGCACCCCAGGGCCACCAAACACATTCTTTGTTTTAAGATTTCACTACCTTCCACAAGTACTGTGGGGTTCTTGGTTAAGGTGAGAACATTCTACCCTAGCCCTGTGCATTATGTTCAGATTTGATACCTGTCCTGTGTTCTACCTATGCATTATTTTAATCAATAATTGCAACGTATTTGAGATTGTCTGTCTGTCTGGCCTTCTGAAACAATGGTTTGAGCTGTAGATTGCTACAAAATAATTCAGGATAACCACTCTGTAGTGATTTGTAGTTGCTTGACCTGATCTGAACAGGGCATAAATCATCCCAAATTGCCCTGATTGAATTCAGGATTTGACCAAATCCTGTGCACAGCCCTATGAGACCATGAACCATTGTCATGCCTCTCTCTTGCCTGAATGGAGGGTGGAGAGGGAGAGGAGCATGTGTACAAACCTCTTCCCTTTGTGTAGTAACCTACATTCCATTCATGTTAGAAGTGGGACTTGAGACCCTCAAAATAAAATCCTAGCACAATTGGTGAAGCAGCAAAGAATTTATTGAATACAAAACATTCATGCAAGAGCAGGTGTCCAAAGAAGGCACTGAGCCTCTTGGGCTTGCTGATCAGAAGGTCGGCAGTTCAAATCCCTGCAATGGGGTGAGCTCCTGTTGCTCGGTCCCAGCTCCTGCCAACCTAGCAGTTTGAAAGAACCCCCCCCCAAAAAAAGTGCAAGTAGATAAATAGGTACCTCTCCAGCAGGAAGGTAAATGGTGTTTCCGTGCGCTGCTCTGGTTTCGGTGTTCCATTGTGCCAGAAGCGACTTAGTCATGCTGGCCACATGACCTGGAACAACTGTCTGCGGACAAACGTCAGCTCCCTCGGCTTGTAAAGCAAGATGAACGCTGCAACCCCAGAGTCACCTGTGACTGGACTTAACTGTCAGGGGTCCTTTAAGCTTATATTTCCTATACCTGGAGTGCAGGTTCCCTCCCTTGTCTCCCCATTGGCTGGGTACTGCAAGGTTTACAGTCTATCACGACTGCCTAATTATCCTATTAACATTTCCCTTATTTGATTCTTTATTTCTATGCATTGGCATAGTGGCTTAAGTGACAGAGCCACATCCTGACCACTAACAGGTATAATCAAGTTCTATAGCTGCTGAAGCTTACAATAAACAGTCTTTCAGCCACAAACTGTCCCATTTATGAGCATCCTAACCACAAGCCGTCAATATCTGAGTCGATCTGGACTGCTGACACTTGTCTACTTATTGCAACCACATTCTGACTACAAGCTCTAAATATCTCCTAGTTGCCTGGACTGCTGACAGTTGACCAACTGTTTCATTTGTATGTGAAAAAGCAACACCCTCATTTCTCACAGTCACCAGAAAGTTGAGAGTCACATCCTTTATGCCACCGTTTGCCTGTTGCCTGCCTGTTATTGGCACGTAACTCCAGGAAGCCTGGCCACAAGATAACGTGGCCCTCAAACTTTGGCATGGATTTTTTTTTGGGGGGGGTAGTTATTCTGATTCAAATATGAAAGGTAATGTGTAGTGTGTGAACGGCAATTCAAACTAAGTTCTCATTGACTTCCCACAGTTTGACATGCAGCGGATAACTCTGGAGGAGCTGAAACATATACTGTACCATGCGTTCCAGGACCACTTAACAATGAAAGATATTGAAAACATCATCATCACCGAGGAAGAGAGCTTAAATGAGAACTCTGGCAACTGTCAAACAGAATTTGAAGGTGAGGTTCTCTTGCATATCTCAGGCAGAACAGTTTGTTCAGACCACTCACCAAGGCAACTTAAGTCAACTGTGTGGCAGTCTAAAGGTATTCTTGCATAGGGACATGCCCATCTACTGCCCCAGAAAAACCAGGAAGTCCTGTTTCCCTCCACAAGAACATGGCAGCCATTTTGGGTGACTTGCTCTTGCATGATTTCGGGCCAAGATCTCACACTGCAATCTCGAGCTGAATTTTCGGTACACAATTTCACATGGGTCATGTGCTGGAGTGCTGACCCGGAAGGCGTCTTCCCAGATTTGGGCCAAATTGTATTGGAGGGTATGTAGAGATGCATCCAGATTTCAGATCCTAAATTTCCAGGATTTGTTTCTGAAGTGAAGGTCCTGGACTCACATGGTTAAAGGCTTTGTAATTATGGGTTGCATCCAACCCTAGTCATACTCAGAGTGGGCCCATTGAAATTAATGGACATGACTGCTACCGTAGGTCCATTAATTTCAGTGGGCCTACTCTGGGTTGTAACCAACTCAATTCCAACCAAAGTAATTAAAATGGATGGCTGGGCTACATTTTGTATGCTGCGTAATGTGTATCAAGAATGATCAAATTGATAAGTACCGTACTTTTCCGTGTATTGGACGAGGTTTTTAGACTCAAAACTCATGTCTAAAAACTGGGGTCATCCAATACACGGATAGTGGCATGGGTGGGGGAGGGGGGAAGAAGAAGAAGAAGAGTTTGGATTTGATATCCCGCTTTATCACTACCCAAAGGAGTCTCAAAGCAGCTAACATTCTCCTTTCCCTTCCTCCCCCACAACAAACACTCTGTGAGGTGAGTGGGGCTGAGAGACTTCAGAGAAGTGTGACTGACCCAAGGTCACCCAGCAGCTGCATGTGGAGGAGCGGAGACTCGAACCCAGTTCACCAGATTACGAGTCCAGCACTCTTAACCACTACACCACACTGACTGGTTGGCGGGTGCATGGCTTCCCCCAATGCTACAGCAAGCAAGGAGCAATTTGGGGGCACTGGCTAGGGGCCCACAGCTTCTCTCGATGCCGCTGTGCACAGGGTGGTATCTGGGAAACGCTGGCTGGCGGCACACAGCCGCAGCAAGCGGGGAGTGATATGGGGCGCTGACTGGCAGGAGGGCAACTTCCCCCGATCCCGCTGTGCATGGGAAGCAGTCCTTGGATCGTTTCCTGAACGCTGCAGCATCAGGGGAAGTTGCCCTCCAACCAACCAGCCGATGCCGCTACACAGAGGAAATGATCTAGGAGGTGTTTCCTGCCCACAGCTGCGTAGGTGGAGAGGCTCAACAACTTTGGGCCATCTCCCCTCATTTTCTTAATATTGAGTCCCCCAAAATGGGGGGGGGGTGTCTTATACATGGGGGCGTCTTATAGACAGAAAAATACGGTAACTTTAAAACGAAAAGGTCATTATGCTCTCTCTCTCTCTTTCTCTCCTAGTGCATTCTCAAAAACAAAACCGACAGACTTGTGTACGGAAAAGCTTAATATGCGCTTTTGCTATGGCCTTTATTATCAGTGTCATGTTGATTGCAGCCAACCAGATCCTCCGAAGTGGCATGGAGTAGCCATATAACACTGTGAAACAAAAAAAACGATCCACGCATGCGCATGCTGTCCGGTGAACTTTCTCCCTGATCAACTTTAAAAACAAATGGGAAAAAAGGAGGAGAGATCGCACGGGTGACGGAATGGCGGATGGATAAGGACAGACGGTTCGATAGAGAACCCCAGGCCAGCGGCGTACCTGTAAATCAACTATATCCTCTTGGCAGGGGCATAAAAGGGCTGTCTTAATGCTTTAATGGTTTTTGTTTCCTAACGCAATAAAAAAACAACCCAGAAGAGCCCTGAATTTTTATTTTTGATTTTTTGGCGTGGTGGCAGGAGATCGGAATGAGGATTCACATTCACCCAGCGGTATTTTGTGGCCACCCAGAAAATGCGACGCCAACTGGAGACAGTTTTGCCGCTAGCTATCTTACAGAAACTCTGAAGCATATCTATATCTATATCTATATATTTCTAATGGTTCAGCTTTCCCAGGAAATTGAAATCTATACCACCATAGTAAGCTTAAAAACCATCCATTTTTGCTTCTCTTCGTCTGACTTCAATGGTTCTGTTTAACCCCGCTGGCATTGCGGGGGATTGTACAGGGACAATCAAACGCATAATTAACAAATTATGCAGTCCGGAGGATTTTGTTCATTTGTTAAATATAAGACTGTGGCCCACCACCATTTTGCTTCTTTTTAAAATTATTATTGCACTCCATCAGGGTTTTTTAAAAGAAATCAGATGCATCACCCTGGAGATTTAAGGCCAATGCAAAGTCTTCCTACCCCATTTTGAAACAGTGCTGTGATAGGCGCCTACTTCATAAATGGCTTCATATTTAATGTACAGTCAGTCTGTTGACCTTCCTCTAGTCCGTCTTATTCAAATGTTTCTGAACCTAGTCACCATTTACAAAGCCAATCCATAACTAGAGGAGATACATTTTAAAAAATATATAAAGAAGAACAAATGATTTGGGGAGCGCAATAGCAGGCTCTTTAGGGCCTAAAGCCCCATAATGGTTTGTCAGGGGGTTTATTGATCAGAACCTGGTAGTCTGATATATGACAGTCCAGCATCCTGTTCTCTCAGGGGCTGACCAGATGCTTGTGAGAAATCTGAAAGCAGGACAGGAGTGCCACACATCTCTGTCCACCTGCGTTTTCCAGCAACTGGTATTCAGTAGCACAATCTCAATGGCAGTGGCATAGCCGTCATGGCTGGAAGTCATTGACAGCCTGGTTTTATAGCTGTCGAAAGGTTTCTTCCAAAGTCTGGTTGAGGCTTTATAAGGAGATGAAATGTCCACTCAATAGGATAAAACTGTTTTGTACGTCTGGGAAATGAAGGCCATTGTAGACGTACATTTCCTTTTGAGAAGCTGCAGTCGTAGCCAATGAGTTTTGCCCAGCTGTTCAGTTCAGTAGTCTGAAACCCATTGACCTGGGAGTAAGTCTAGCTGGTTTCCAAAATCCCTGGAGGGAGAGGGCTAGAGATGGCCACCAGCCATGATGGCTGTGCCCTGCCTCCACTGTCAGGGAAACTATGGCTCTGAATATCAGTTGTTGGAAACCACAAGAAGGGAGCGTGCTCTTGTGCTTGAGTCCTACCTGAGGGAATCCCACGGGCACCTGGTAGGACACTGTGAGAGCAAGATGCCAGGCTGGGTGGGCCGTGGGCCTGATCCAGATCCTTATGTTCTTCTGAACTATGCCAGGAGCTGAATGAACCCATTGACAGGAGCAACTTTCATTTCTGCAGAACAGGTATTGCTCAAAAGTGGTGACAAAGATGGAGTTTCAAACCACTTCTGATACCTAGGTGTCTGTTGAGTAGTTCCCAACTTAAAGCTACAATGATATACCAGGTTTACTGGAGTAAGCCTGACTAGTGGATGTAAGCGTTGTGGGTGTCACAGTGGGGCCGTAAAGACCACTAAGTTATCGTGTGGCGTCCATCGGGTTATTGAAAATGGTCATGCACAGGTTAGGGTCATACAATCTATAGTGTCTGTTAGGGTGCATACTACGGAAGGTTTTTTTTTGTTACTTGCCTTGCCCCGGGTGCTGACAACCCACGCTACGCCGCTGGCCTGACTGAAAGATTTCAGTCGTCTTCTTCTTTTACTTAGCATCCCCAATAAAAACATAAAAACTATTAGGTATATATATTAAAATGTAAACATATGGATATTATACAACTAATTATACTTATATTGACAAAATGCCTCCTTTTCAGGCAGTCAATGCACCTGTGCAAATGTAGCCATTTAAGGCATGATATGAATGGCTAAAACATACTCCCCCAAAAATTGGTATTATTCAATCATAGTAGCAAATGGGAATGGTTTTGAGAAGCAAAATTATTAGCAACAGTAGAAAGAAATGTGTGTGAATGACCCTCCTCCACATTGGCCATAGTTTTGTCCTCACTGGGAATATTAGAAAACCTTTCTCATTACATTCTGTGTGCATTGTGATCAGATTTGATCATAACACAGTTTTTGCATGGGGTTTAGTAATTTTACACCTCCTCCCCTAAACAACAACAACCCAGTTTGATGTCAAAACACAGTCCGACACCAATGTAATAGTAAATTTATAAAACCTAAACTGAGACAAAGATATTCATTCACTTTTCCTGCCCCAGCTGTTCCATTATGTGGTTAAATCCAATTATCATTGCTCAAACCCTATTCCTGCACAGGTGTGGAAAAAAAGGTTGCAAAACCAATTCATTCTTGCTTGGCCAAAGTAGTCTAGAGTTGAGCCTCACTGCTGCAGAAGTATCACAGTGCTATTGGGAGAAGTTATAGTTCAGTGGTAGGCAATATCATTTGCATATACAGGTAAGCAGAGCTAGGAAGGATCTACATCCAAGACCCTGAACAGTTACAGGCCTGTGTAGACTCCAGAAGATGGAGGAAGGGAGAGAGGGATGGGCCAACCAAGGGTCTAGATCAGTTTCAAGAGCTTGCATTCAGCATATCACCTGCTTAAAATTTAATTGCACCCTAGGTTACTATTGATGAGGTTTTTTGGGGAGGGGGGTGGAGTAGAAATGTCTCATCACAGCCAGCTTATCTCATGCTCAGCAACGTCCCTAGAAAGATATTTTGTCAGACGTGGAAACATGGGCAGGCCCAGTGTACCCTTCGTCTTAAGCACATGGTAAGTGTTTCTATTTATTATAGAAGATAGTTTCTTAGAGTATAGTTATGTCGCCGGGTCAAGTTGTTCTGGTTTATTCTAAGAATTATAAAGATTTTGTATTAGAACTGGAGGGGGGGAAATGGTTTGTTACCCCATTAAAGCCTTTGCCCTATTCTCACAACTGAAGATTACATTGTATGCATGGTGGGGTCAGGGAGGGTCATGCTGCCCCCTCAAATTCCACTCATTTAGTTGAAGACCTGAATTCAGCCTGTATTTCTGTATAATAGGGCTGTGCACAGCCATCCCAACCCAGAGACCTCCATCCCCAAATCAATTCAGAGGTGTGTGCCATGTTTAGTTACGGTTTGTAAAAATCCTAACTAAACATACAGTCAGGTGCTGGGGAAGGAAAGGCTCCTTTCTCCCCTTTCCTGATTAAGAGCAAAGGGACAGGGTGCTTTCCTCCCCCAAAAGCACCCCACAGGATTGAATCCTCTGCTCCACAGCTGTTCCCTGAGGGGAAGGCACTTGTGAACAACAGAACCCTGCAATATAGCTTGTCTTTCTTCCCTCCTCACCTTGTCTCTCCTATCTGCCTGACACCCACACCCACTGACATCTCCAGACCACCCTGTGCAACCAGCCCCCACCTGAGTCAGTTCAATTTGGTTTGGGCTTCAACCCAAGCTGGTGCACAGCCCTACTGTGGCAGATTGCCAGGCAGGTTTTCCAATTACATGCAGGTCCTTGGCTGAATGTGAAAAAGATTTGGACCTCGGACAGCAAAGACCAGGGGTCTGCAACCCGCGGCTCCAGAGTCGCATGTGGCTCTTTTACACCTTTGCCGCGGCTCCGGGGCAGATACTAGTGAGGGGAGGAGGCGCATTGTGCGCCCCGACACTCCCCACTGTGGCGGGCGCTGTACTGGCTGTGACGTCGCATGGGGGTGGTGTGTGCGTTAGTCACGCACCGTCCCGACGTCACCTTCCCGGTTTTGCGGCTCCCAGATTTTTTTTCTTCGGAAACGGGTCCAAGTGGCTCTTTTTGTCTTAAAGGTTGCAGACCCCTGGCATAGACCACCTCTCCCATTGAACGTGTGAAAAGGGCTCTCGTCCATTTTCATTCCTTCGATTCCAGCAATGTTCGTTTCCTCCTATGTCGACAAAACGTTATTTCAAACAAAGTGCAGGGAAGGTGGGAATGGTGGCAAATAAACCTTGGTACAGATAAAATCAAAGGAATAAATTTTGAAATAATGTCCCTTGCATGCTTCCTTTTTTAAGAAAAGAACTTATTTTAATATATACACACATTATATATTATTGCACTGTACAAAGTATATAAAGGGAAGAAACTGCCATATATCCTGCCTATTTAACCAAACAGCACTGTAAATATCTTATCTGTATAAAAAAAAGTCTAATTTTAATCACTTATGCAATAGTAATAAAGTTGCTTTCTTCTTTTGAGTTCTGGTATCTTTCCACACACACCCCCTCTCTTTTAGTCATGAGTAGGGATGAGAGAGCAATTTTACGCAGTTCACATTGAAACCTAAATCTGTTCTCCAGAACAACTGGCTGGCATGGGAAGGGACCCAGTCACAGAAGATGACTCACCAATGAGGACAGGTCTGCAGATAAAAACATGGTGGATGACAGAGCATCACTCCTGGTCAAAACATAATCCAGAGACAAAGTCAAGGAACAGTCCAAGGTCAACATTACAGGAAGTTCAGACAAAGTACAATACATCAAGGCAGGGGAACTAGAACCAAAGAGCTATGTTGTTTCCAGCAACTGGGAGGCTCAGGAGCGAGCCACCTAAAAACAACCCTAACCAGAATGAATGAATGAATGAAACTTTATTTGCGTCAGCTATATGCCATGGCAACAAAAGGACATTGTGATATACACAGAACAAAATAAAAAGTCAATTATATAAAACACCGTTTAGGGGCCTGAATCAGCAATCAAACAGTGGACCTTATTCTGATTGCCTGAGCTAAAAACCTTGCAACCTTTGCTGTCATCTGCTCCTCTTGATCTGCCAGGAGAAAAAACACTGTGGCAGTGGTTGGGCGACCCAGAATGGACAATAAAAGAGGGGTGATAATCTCGTCCCTCAGGT